TCCGCTGAGTGCGTGATGTACACTAAATTTATTGTAAAGGAAGCATAATGTTTACGACCTTAAATTAATAACAGACACGTACGATTTATTCGTACACATTTCAAATATTAAAATTATTGTCGTTCCAATAAAATGAGTTTATTATATAACATATTTTTGTAATAGATCTTTTTGATTAACTTAAATAATGAAAACGCACGTCGATATATGAACTTGCGACTGCCTTAATTAATTTTTCTAGATAGTTTTCTGCTGGTAATTGATCAAATTGATGAATGGCAAGACAAATCAAAATGTTACTACTGACAAAATATGGTAACACCTTATTAATCAGAAGAGGTTTACTTAATGACGGCCTCGCGTGAAATTTTTGTGATTTGTTTATTATTGATCGGATTTCTAACTCTGCTACTCTGTATATTTGGATAGCATCTTACGTGGGATAAACTAGACCACTTTCGTCCCCGAAAGCAGTGAACTCATACGTATAACCAACTCCAGGTTTTTGTAAAGACAGCGCACTGTTAATTCTTTGCATTATATATTGTTTTGTATTACTCGTACTACATATCCGGCGACGTATGTAATTATTTGTTCACTATATTCGGACATTCGAAACAACGTGCTGCAAAAATTATCGAAACTACAGATACTACAAAACTGAAAAAAAAAACGAAACGTTACTATACGTTATAACAGAGAGTTATAGAATATTTTTATAATATTGCTAAGGTAATAATTTTCGTCCCTTTGTTTTCAAAATCGATCAGAATTTAGAACAGTGTTGCCTAACGTATCACTAAATGTTAAATTTGGCCAAAGAAATGTACAAGCGGCCGTACCACGAAACTGAATGCATTATTCAAAATACGTTCGTTCGATTTTCATGGCGTATTAAGGACCACAAATATATCGCACCAAGTAAAAGCCGCAATGTATTACAAATCATGAGGCATGCACTCGGTTGCATATATGTTTTCTCGAAATCCATATAAAACCAAAATAATTGTTTTTAAAATAAATTATGCATCTTCTAATTACAAAATCACTTGCCACTGGAAGGAAACGTCCCTGTTTATTCGTTTACCCACAGTTATGGTGCTTATGCAGTTTATAATGGCACAATTATGCATTTTTGGCGTTTAACGGTCGAGCGCGTTCTGAAGTGTAGCAGCGGCAAGTAAGTGAATTTCACTTACTTTGGGCATGCGAAGTACGCACACTTGCGGCGTTTACCTAGATATATGTCTGTGGTGCACTGCTGTAACAATGTGATATGTTGCGACCACAGAAACCTAAATTATTTAGTATTCTCTGCGACCGATATGCGTAAACTAGAAGCATATAGATTTAACGAATTACAATTTTTAAGTAACGCAGACATAACAATATAGCATTCATGATTAAAAGGATTTATGTAACCTTTTTAATGTAACTGAAATAACGTACGTCAATAAAAATAAGGCTCAGGCATCACTCATAACAATGAGTGATGCTTAATTCTCCAAAATGATGAGATGAGTGATAAGTATTACATTATATTATTGCATGATATTAGATAGCACAAGTCTGCTAAGATTTTTGAAACCAGTGGTCATTCTATTTCCATCGAGCCTCCACAGATATTACATTGCAATTAGTATAAAATTTCTTTCAGCGAAAATCTAGTTGCAAAGGAAATATAGGGTCGTATTCCAGAACTCTACTCAATACTCAAGTCAGGACTTGAGCAGACTTGAGTATGATTTGAAGCACTGGAAATACGACCCTAATGGCAAGGACTTGAGTATGATTTTCAGTGCTCACTGCAATATTCAAGTCCTGACTTGAGCATTGAGTAGAGTTCTGGAATACGACTCAACAGAGTGTAACTGGAAAGGCTGTGATTGGATTCATTATGTGAATGTTTTTAGAATTGGTTCATTCGTATGAAAAAGTGCATTAACGCTAACGGAGAATATTTTGAGAAACAATAAATTCATTTCTGACCATTTATAGTATTTTTTTCTTATTCATTCCGGAAACTAAAAGTGCACCTTACGTAAAAATAGCTAGAACGCATTGTGGCTAATCATGAAATTCGCGTTGTGACTTTCATGATATTCCACCACTACGCGTTGTGGTTATTAAGAAAAGCCATAGTAACGGTTTCTGAATATTGGCTTATGCAACCACAATGAATGAATGAATGAATTATACTTTATTGCACTTAAATAATTTTAAGTGCAATAAAGTATAATTCATTCATGACATGACAACCACATGCTACCCCCAGAAATAAATGTAGGCCATACAAGAGTCGTTTTTCAGATAACCTCAAAAAATGTAGGTATCGCTTTAAATTTTTTAAAATAAATATCCAGTCTGCGTACGTCGTATTTATACTAGCTTGAAATGAGGAGGCACATTGACTATTTTCCCCGCTAGATGGCGCATGAATGATGGTGCTGTTGGATTGTCAAACTGCATAGAACACTATTATAACTTTTATGTAAAAAATATAAATAATATTGAAAACGAATTGAGGTTGATTTGTTGTGGCGTTTTTTAACGTCTGAAAAACATATACCGTGCCGATTTCATGCCGCCATGCGCTAGTCAAAAAACCATCAGACGTCGCTAACGATGATTTTACGATACGGACGGCAGCATATCAAGCTAAACATTGATGGATCTTGTTACTAGGTACATTTTTGTCCATCCTCTAAGCTAGGTACAGACGGAAAAAACTGCTTACTAATTTTAAACGTACTTTTCTAAAAAATTTTCACCTACGCTTTTTAGTTTGGAAGCTTAAAAAGCGTTTAAGCGTATGGACTTTACGTTAAAAAGAACCTTGTAACAGTGTGTCGACAATAAAAAGCGAGAGTAGGCCAGTAAATGTTATAGCATAAGAATGTTTATTTGTAAAACACGAGTTTTATTATTATTTATAAGGAATAATATTATATTTATTTATTTTATTAAGAAACAGGTACAAAAAGAAAAACTTAAATCTAGGCTGCTAACGGTGTAGCAAAAAAACATTTTTGGTTTAACCGTACACCATTCACCATCTCGGTAAATAAATTAAAAGTTAGAAACGAAACACAAATAAAAAAACAATAACAATAAACAAGAATGCAAACAAAAAATAATATTAATAATTACACTAACGTGACTATTTGTAATATTAACTAAATTCTTGCTATTTAAAATGCAAGTAAAATAACAATAAAGAAAAAAAGAAATAAAAGTGGGGGAAGGTATCAAAATTATAATTGTTTATAACATTATTATTCACATTGACGAATTAATTTCTTTAGAATACATAGATGGCGACACTTATGTTTAAAATGATAAGCACAATAAAAACCAAACTTTTTAAAATGCTTTTCGTTTTAACGTACATTTCTACTTGGTGCTGCTACATCTGTAGAGGCGCTGCTGGTGCTGGTGGCGTTAGGTCCTGTTGGATGGAATGTAGTAGTAGCCTCCGCAGCCTCCGCAGCCTCCATACATCTTACTTAGTAGGTTTAGCAAATCAAACGTTAAAAGTCCAGTTTATAGGTATTTATTTGGTTTTAAAAAATATGTTATAATCTTTAAAATATAAACTGTATATATATAGCTAGTAAACGGTTCAAAAAGATAAGTAGAGATACGTTCGCTACCGCCATCGGGTAGAGAGTGATGATGGAAAGAAACAAAATCAATGCGAGGTAAAATGGAACAATTGAAAATTTTGAATTTAAATATTAGCAGAAGAAAAAAAGCGATACGATACGAATGGAGAGATGCGATACAAAAAGGTGGGATGACGATGTAAGGAGGTCACACCGTCACACATCTTTTCGAATATCGCCTCCAGAGCAACAGAGCTCTGGAGGCGATATTATAAACAGGTGATATTATATATTAACTGTCACTGACCCAAACCTCTTTAAGGGAAAATAATAAAAAAGTTTTTTATTTAGGTAATATATTGTTAAGTGAAATTTTATTAGTATTTGACATTGACTTACAAATAAATGGACGACGGGTCTAATACAAAAACCACGAAAAAAATGTCCCAAGTCAACCTATTCGAAATTTAAATTGTTATGTCATCGCAGTATCGCGCTGTCCGTAGAACAAATGAAGACTAAAGCGGAGTGTCGCGCTCTGTATACGATTTTAGCGCCTTACAAGTGCGGACACTTTTTAGCGCGGACCCGACGTCCATATAATTGTAAGTCAATGGTATTTGATAAATAAAATGAATAAGCTTCTACTTAATAACTTTTATTAAAGAAGTTGTTATGTTATTTGGAACAAAATTAACTTTTATTTGCATCTGCCCATTAGAACAGGAAATAATGCTGAAACAAAAATGTCAAACACCATTATTACGTAATGACGACTACAATTTTTTTAAACAATATTCTTCATTTTCTTAAAAAAAACATGTGAAATGGAAAGCAATGAATAAAACGAATAATTTAAGTATCAGAAATGTTTTTTATAAACCGATGGAAAATTTAGGGAAAATTAAAAATCGAAGGGCAATTATATTAAATTACTTTTTTCCGACCATTGAATGCATTGCCGCTATTGACCTACCAATATTGCCGCCAGCTTTTGTTACTTTATTGAAAGTGAAAGCGTTTCATAATTGAAAATAATATATAATATTCGATCGTAAGCGCTTGTCCTTATTTGAAACAAAGAGAACATTTTAAAGTATTACGCACGAGATTTAATTAGCACTTAGGGTCGTATTCCAGAACTCTACTTAACGCTCAAGTCAGGACTTGACTATGATTTCAAGCCCTGGAAATACGACCCTAATGACAAGGACTTGAGTATCATTTTTAGTAGGAAATGAAACTATTTTTCCGGATTTAAATCGTATATTTGTTTTTTCAAACAAACCGACGTTTCGGGCCCTTTACAGGTCCCATGGTCACGGTTGACTCCGGAAAAATAGTTTACGATTTAAATCCGGAAAAATAGTTACATTTCCTATGTGTAACAATCGCGAAAACCTAAGAACTCGATATGATTTCTAGTGCTTTAAATCATACTCAAGTCCTGACTTGAGCATTAAGTAGAGTTCTGATATACGACCCTTAAACTTATAAAGCGGTGGTAGCCTTATGGTTTGACCTACCACTTCTCAAGGAGAGGACCGGGTTCTAATCCGGACTCGCACCTCTGAGGTTTTCGGAATAAATATTCTAAATTTAGACAATAAGCTTTTCTGTTAAAGAAAACATCGTGTTGAAACCTGTATTTCGAAGAAGTTTCACAACGGTGGGACGTAGCGCCCGGCAGTGGGACTAATTAAATGGGTTGATGACGATGATTATAATTAGCGCTTTTCTAAAATGTTAATAATAACATGGGTTCAAAATTAACTTCCAGTGAGGTGCTTCAAAATTAATATTCTTGAAAGTAGTGGGTCTACAAGGGGGTGATTAAGAAAATTGGCTTCCTGCTCAGTCTAACTCGTACATAATTAGAAACGGAAAGCTTGTATTTACGTATCTACTTGATAATCAAAGGTTACTCGTCTTTAATTAACGAGGTTGTAATAAAGTTGTAGGTACGTATGCAAAATAACGTAGTGGTACTTTTGAGATATTTTTATAATGGAATGTGAAGTTTACTTGTCCGCTGTGGGTTTGCAAAAGGTAGTGTATGTCTATTATTATATTACAAAGGGGTTCGTGGACTCTTGGAATGAAAATAAACTACCCCTTCTTGACAGCCGTCTTCACAAAGTCACAAATTCATTTAAGGTGCAATGTACACGCTTCTATAATAAGAGTCAATGTAAAAAATGACTTATTCTATAGGTAAAATAAATTTACAGTTGAAGACGTCATTTTTTAAGTTACTGCTCATTCACTGCCGACTTCCTTGAGAAGAACGAGCAAGAAACTTTAGGGGTTGCTCTTTTCAAAGAAACTTCAATGCTATGCAATAAATACACTTTGAATCAAATTTTCTGGAATCTAAAGCCATGTCGTCTTTCCACATACGTTTACCTGACACGTCGTCTTCAATTTAGTAATATGGCTTTTCAATTAAACTAAGATTCCGGTTGCTATTCAAAATTTGCAATTTACGAGATTTAATTAAAACTATAGTGAAACAAAAACTTTATACTAAAGGTTATTTATACAGCTTCTGTGTACTTGGATGACGAAAATTCGTGGTAGTGGCCCGTTTAGCTCTTGCAAGTAGTCTCGGTCTTTGATGCTTGAAATAAATATTGTAAATGATAGATAACAGACAAACATACGATTTATCTAAAACTAACGTGCGTTAGAGTGTTCTTTGTTTTTAAATTTAAAAAGTGCGCAAAAAGTCGATTCCCAGGGACGAAACTTATATGTTTCGATAGCTTATCTCATCCCTGAAGTAACTATAATACTCTGTAGTGAACTAAGTGAAGTGCAGTACTCTTAAATTTGTAAAAACTATTAAATTGGACCGTTAAAGTGCCGTTTTAGAAGCGAAATTGACTTTGACCGGTCATTAGCGAACTATAGATTTCGAGTTTTGCCTACTCCACGTCATTCGACCACATTTTGAGTGCGCAAAATTCGCCGACAGTTTGTTCACACACTGGTCACTCTGCGTGGGGACCCGGGTTCGATCCCCTGCTAACATTTTTTTCTTTTTGTTGTTTTTGTTCTTTTTTTTTCGTGTTTTTTTGTTAAAACCACAAGAAAATATAGTGTTTGGCTTGCAACAAAAATATAAAGGTAGGAGAACAGATAAGTTGCTCCTGTTGCGAAAGTTTTTAACACTATCTGTGCCTAAACATAACTTCCGCCGAATACAAAGACAACCAGTCCGATCTGGAACGCACCGTGATATGTCCTACTTGTAGCAGCGTCACACGGCGCCCGAAAAACGACAACACACCAGTTCGTGGGCAAACCCGTCCAGTCGCTGTGATGGCTACCACAATGCCCATGGTTGACGGTGCTCTTGTTCATGGGTATAAACCTACCCAGTCAAAGAGTGAGGCGCCGGTTACTGCGGGCGCATTGCGCGATATTTTGGCAACTTTTAAGGAGGACATGACAAAAACAATTGAGCGTGTAGTTTTCGATGTCGTAACACAAAGATTGAGGGAGATAACGACACAAATCTCAGAATTTCATAACTCGTTGTCTATCTTAAATGACCAGCACGAAAGTCTGAAACTACTTCAAGAGGAAAGTACCAAGATCATCGACAGGCTCCAAAGTGAAAACACAAGTTTACATTCCACAGTCAGGAACTTATCTACTCGCAAGTTACACGTGTTGCAAAGATGAACAAAGAAGATAAGCGACCTCGCACGATCATCGCCAAGGTGCGAAGCCCTCGCCAACGGGATGTTGGATTATTGTTAGCTGCGGTTCATAATTTTAATAAAAACAACCGAGAAAACAAACTGGGATCGCATCACCTCGGTTTGGCAGGGAACAATGCTCCATTATTTGTAGCTGAACATTTAACGCCCACCAGTAATAATTATAAGTAAGTAAATAATAAGTTTTTACACGCCGCAGCTAGAAAGAAAGCCAGAGAGATGTCTTACACTTTTATTTGGGTTCGAAATGGACGAGTATACGTAAGAAAAGAAGAAACGGGTCAGGCGTTACTAATTCGTGACTTACACTGACAACTGATGCTATCTAATTCGATAGCAACAAAATGATTGTCTAGTGTATTCATTTTTCTGTTTGTTTGTCAGTGTTGTGGTGTTTCACACTTATAAGATGGTTACTTTTTATTATCAGAATACTCATGGTTTAAGAACCAAAACCAATAATTTGTACAGCAACATTTTGCAATGCTCATAAGATGTAATCGTTTTTACCGAAACCTGGCTTAATTCGAATATATTTAATAGTGAATTGTTTGACTCTAGGTACGTTGTTGACGAGAAGGCCTGGTAACTGGCAAACGTTCTAAGTTGGACGGAGGGGGTGTTCTGGTAGCAGTATCTCGTGAATTACATTCTTATAGATTATTACAATACGAAAGTGAATGCGAAGATATTTGGGTGTCAATTAATGTTAATCTTAACGGTATTTCAAGAAAACTTATTATATGTGCTGTGTACATACCTTCTCCACCTAAAGTGGATTCATTGTTCCATCGGACCATTCATTGTTTTTTCGATAATGCCAGTAATGTTATGGATTTGGTGGTGGATGTTGTTATATTAGGAGATATGAATCTTGGCAATATTGAATGGACAGATACAGCAGACGCTTGTCATTTGCGGCCTTCTAATTACCACAGTGATATGGAAAATGCATTGATCAACTTTATGTACGTTAACAGTCTCTATGAATTTAACGATATTCGTGACAAAAACGACAGGATCTTAGATTTAGTATTGAGTACTGTATCTCTTGGTAAGATTATTTTTCCACTTGACCTACTTAGCAAACAAGATCTGCATCACCCTCCAATTTT